AGTAAGGTTGTGTGATGTGTTGCTACAGTAAGGTTGTGTGATTGTTGCTACAGTAAGGTTGTGTGATGTGCTGGTACAGTAAGGTTGTGTGATGTGTTGCTACAGTAAGGTTGTGTGATGTGATGGTACAGTAAGGTTGTGTGATGTGTTGCTACAGTAAGGTTGTGTGATGTGCTGGTACAGTAAGGTTGTGTGATGTGTTGCTACAGTAAGGTTGTGTGATGTGATGGTACAGTAAGGTTGTGTGATGTGATGGTACAGTAAGGTTGTGTGATGTGTTGCTACAGTAAGGGTTGTGTGATGTGATGGTACAGTAAGGTTGTGTGATGTGCTGCTACAGTAAGGTTGTGTGATGTGTTGCTACAGTAAGGTTGTGTGATGTGTTGCTACAGTAAGGTTGTGTGATGTGCTGGTACAGTAAGGTTGTGTGATGTGTTGCTACAGTAAGGTTGTGTGATGTGATGGTACAGTAAGGTTGTGTGATGTGTTGCTACAGTAAGGTTGTGTGATGGCTGGTACAGTAAGGTTGTGTGATGTGTTGCTACAGTAAGGTTGTGTGATGTGATGGTACAGTAAGGTTGTTGTATGTGATGGTACAGTAAGGTTGTGTGATGTGTTGCTACAGTAAGGTTGTGTGATGTGATGGTACAGTAAGGTTGTGTGATGTGCTGCTCAGTAAGGTTGTGTGATGTGCTGCTACAGTAAGGTTGTGTGATGTGCTGCTACAGTAAGGTTGTGTGATGTGCTGCTACAGTAAGGTTGTGTGATGTGCTGCTACAGTAAGGTTGTGTGATGTGCTGGTACAGTAAGGTTGTGTGATGTGTTGCTACAGTAAGGTTGTGTGATGTGATGGTACAGTAAGGTTGTGTGATGTGATGGTACAGTAAGGTTGTGTGATGTGATGGTACAGTAAGGTTGTGTGATGTGTTGCTACAGTAAGGTTGTGTGATGTGATGGTACAGTAAGGTTGTGTGATGTGCTGCTACAGTAAGGTTGTGTGATGTGCTGCTACAGTAAGGTTGTGTGATGTGCTGCTACAGTAAGGTTGTGTGATGTGCTGCTACAGTAAGGTTGTGTGATGTGCTGCTACAGTAAGGTTGTGTGATGTGCTGCTACAGTAAGGTTGTGTGATGTGCTGCTACAGTAAGGTTGTGTGATGTGTTGCTACAGTAAGGTTGTGTGATGTGTTGCTACAGTAAGGTTGTGTGATGTGCTGCTACAGTAAGGTTGTGTGATGTGCTGCTACAGTAAGGTTGTGTGATGTGCTGCTACAGTAAGGTTGTGTGATGTGTGCTACAGTAAGGTTGTGTGATGTGTTGCTACAGTAAGGTTGTGTGATGTGTTGCTACAGTAAGGTTGTGTGATGTGATGGTACAGTAAGGTTGTGTGATGTGCTGGTACAGTAAGGTTGTGTGATGTGTTGCTACAGTAAGGTTGTGTGATGTGTTGCTACAGTAAGGTTGTGTGATGTGATGGTACAGTAAGGTTGTGTGATGTGATGGTACAGTAAGGTTGTGTGATGTGTTGCTACAGTAAGGTTGTGTGATGTGATGGTACAGTAAGGTTGTGTGATGTGATGGTACAGTAAGGTTGTGTGATGTGCTGGTACAGTAAGGTTGTGTGATGTGTTGCTACAGTAAGGTTGTGTGATGTGCTGCTACAGGAAGATTGGCACAGCTAGTGTTCCAGGAAGCTGCGGATGTGTAGTAAGTTATGTAAGACCGTCGTCCAGTAGATCACACTCTCCAGGAATTCCTTGATCCACTTCACTCTCAGATATTGATCATCGTCACTGCGTTTACAGTGGTTGCTCCTAAGGAGTGGTTCCTCGTCATTGTATTTACAATGGTTCCTCCTCACTGTGTTTACAATGGTTCCTGGTCACTGTGTTTACAGTGGTTCTTGGTCACTGTGTTTACAATGGTTCCTCGTCACTGTGTTTACAATGGTTCCTGGTCACTGTGTTTACAATGGTTCCTGGTCACTGTGTTTACAATGGTTCCTGGTCACTATGTTTACAATGGTTCCTGGTCACTGTGCTTACAATGGTTCCTGGTCACTGTGTTTACAATGGTTCCTGGTCACTGTGTTTACAATGGTTCCTGGTCACTGTGTTTACAATGGTTCCTGGTCACTGTGTTTACAATGGTTCCTGGTCACTGTGTTTACAATGGTTCCTGGTGGACTGTGTTTACAATGGTTCCTGGTCACTGTGTTGTTACAATGGTTCCTGGTCACTTGTTTACAGATGGTTCCTGGTCACTGTGCTTACAATGGTTCCTGGTCACTGTGTTTACAATGGTTCCTGGTCACTGTGTTTACAATGGTTCCTGGTTCACTGTGTTTACAGTGGTTCCTGGTCACGTGTTTACAATGGTTCCTGGTCACCTGTGTTTACAATGGTTCCTGGTCACGTGTTTACAATGGTTCCTGTCACTGTGTTTACAGTGGTTCCTGGTCACCGTGTTTACAATGGTTCCTGGTCACTGTGTTTACAATG